ATTGAATTTATTGACAAGGAAGAAACAGCATTTGAAAAAGGTCTAGTAGCACTTTTTAAACAAGACCAAATGCAAAAAGCACCCAATATTATAGAATCAGAGGTGACAGAACCAGAGGCAATTGAGATTACAGATTATTGAGAAAATCAAATAAGCTCAAACTTAACATTATTGTAAAGAATACCTGTTTTGCGGAATAATATTACCCTTAGCATAATACACTTGCTTCCTAATCTTGATGTAAAAGATCCAGTTATAATATATAGTATCTGCCTTAGTATAGTACTCTTCTTAGCATTATAAATAAGCATAGTATGATAATCCGTGGTTATTATTCCGCAAAATACGATAGATGTTGCAGATTCTCTTACCATAGGTGACACTTCTATATACTGTATATAAAAATGTATGCTTATGAATATAAATTAGAATTTGTATTTATAATTTATATTATTAATCATATAATTTAACATAAAAAAGAAAAAAATTAATGGAAGCTATTAAAAAAACCAAATCTAAACATATAAAAAAATCAAAGGCTAAATCAAAAAAAAACCAAATCAAAAACTAACAAGACTCTCTCAAAAAGATCATTGTGCCGCAATTGGAGCTGCTCTTAAAGTACTCGCAGGTCCTAAGAATTCTAGTATAAATTCAACTACCCTAAAGTTTAGAATTTTGGAAGCAACCCTTAGACATGCTGTTAAAAATGGGTTACCTAAATGTACTAGCCCTAAAACAGTCTTAAGCGAACATAAGAAAGAGCAGCTAGTAGGTTATTGTAAAAATATGCAGAAATTAGAGTTTGGTTTAACAAGATTGGGTGTGAACCACTGTGTAATAGAGATAGTGCGTAGCAATTATCGTGATCATTCTTTTACAACTAAAGGGCCTGGCAGGGCTTGGTGGAACCGTTTTATGAAGATCACCCAGACTTATCTTTTTGAGTACCCCAAGCCCTATCTGAAGTACGTGCTCAAAGAGCAAATCTGATAATTATAAAAGATTATTTTGAAAAGCTGCAAAAAATAATTGAGAAACATTCACTTACTGCGGAACGCATATAGAATATGGACAAAACTGGTTTCGTTATTTCCTCTAAAGACCAAAAAGTTCTCGTGACAAAAGGTTTGTATTGAAAATTTAAATTATAAGCATCATAGCTAATACTAAAATTTAAAGTTTTTAATTAAAAAATTACTCAACTCTATAAAAGGTGCTCGTCAAGTTCATAAAGTCTCACATGGAAATGTGCATGAGCATATTTCTGTTGCTCCAACAATTTCAGCGGCAGGTGACTACGTTCCTCCATTAATTATTTATAAAGATGTTCGTATGATTCCTGGTCTATTAACTGGAGGTTTAGCTGGTGCTGTTATGGGTTTTACTGATACTGGGTACATGCGGAAAAGCCTCTTCTAAATGTATATTGAACACTTCATTAAGTCAATTCTGCCTATTCGTCCAGTCCTATTAATACTTGATGGCCATAAAAACCATATAAATTATACAAGTGTTAGATTCTGTCATGAGAATGGGATTCTACTTTATGCATTTCCTCCACACACAACACATATCCTCCAAGCGTCCGAACTCCCTTTTGCAAAACTTAAAAGAGAGTATAATAAAGGTTGTGATGAGCTACATAATACTAAAGGAGAAGTAGTAACCAAGTATATATTCGCTAAGATTCTTGGGCCAGCATTCGCTACAACCTACACTCCTGAGGCAATTATTAATGTCTTCAGAGCTACAGGAACTTGGTCTTTAAACCCTAATACCATTAGCCCTGAACGTCTTGCCCCATCATTAGTAACAGAATGTGAGGTCGCTCAGCCAACTGAAGAAGAACCATCATCTCCCAAAATTGTTCCCTCCTCTTCTCAACCTACTCGTAAATACTCCACTAGAACTGGTGTTGCCAAAGAAGTAGAGATATTGAAAGCAGATGTTATATCTCTTGGAAAAGAAGTCGAATTATTAAAAAAAAAAAATAAATCAATTAAGAGAAGTTATAAATTAATAAATAAAGAACTAGAGACCTTTAAAAATCCCGGTACCTGTCCTTTGAAAATAGCACTTAAATATCCTACTTCTCGGCTTTCATCACAAACCAACAAACAAGAAACTTGTGAAGTTGTTGAATCTCAATCCCGGCCTATAAAAAAGAAGAAAACAATGCTTTTTGCCTGCCTTCTTACTAACGATGATTCTTTGCGAGAGTTAGAGGCTGCAGAAGAAGCTGCCAAATCTAAAGCTGAAAACATAAAAAGAAAAAAAAAGATTGCAGCCCAAAAAAAAATAATGTGTGAGTTAGAGAAAGCAGAAAAAAAAGCTGAAAGAGAGCATAAAAAGGAAGAAAAAATCCAAAAAAAATGATAAAGGAAAGGGTAGAGCTGATTAAGTTTTTTTTTTGCGAACGGTGACTAGTGTGTGCTTAGTGAAAGCATATTGTTAAGAGATTATCTATATCAATATATTAATAGTATATTAATGTTAATGATCGTCATATTTGTCAAAATACTCTCTGGGGTATGTTAATTATTGTTGCGTAAAGAGGATTGCATAATTCATATAAAACTTGTATTTTTTTCATTCTATATTGTGAAACATATCGGAATCTTCGTAGTTCTGAAAAAAAAATAAAAAGTTAAGATTTCTACAGACTTTTATTGTGTGTAGTGTTAACTTTGTCAAAATACCCACATCTACTTTATGTATTATGTATTTATGTATGCAAATATTATGGTATAAAAAAAATATAAAGTATAGTACATACGTATATACATATGAGTTACGACATATAAGAATTGAGTTACGGCGCATAAAACAGTTGCAGTATGTTCGAACTAATATTGCACATACGCATGTTTCGACATGCCGTGCTTAAAATAAGTGTTACGTACAACGAGTTATAACTTAGTTATGATACAGCTTATCCTAATACCCTAAGATTCTACGTATCACTAGTCCAAACTTTTCTAAATTTTGATCAAAATTAAAATTTAATTTTTTAGTTTGACCAAAATTTAGAAGAGTTTGAACCAAAAAAATGTTTAGTTTAATAATAATATCTTTTTTAGAATTATCCGGTGGTTCTGTTATACCCCACTTTAATTATATCTCTAAAAAAATTAGAGGCTAAAAGAGATGATATAACCCAGGTATAACTGTATTATAGGGTTACAGCATTACAGTATTGCGACATTGCAGCATTACTGTATAATAACAATCAATATAGCAAAATTAAGTTTACTATTAGAGATGTTGATGTCTTGTTAGATTTAGTTGCAACCCCTTTGCAAACACATTTTGTTGCTAGTATTAAATAAATATAATTTTAAAATTTGTTTTTTTTTATTAAATTTATTTATGTTTGATTACAATTTTTTTTTTGTTTAAAAAAAAACTGTCCTTCGATAATTTAACTTTGATACTACATCTCAATACAAGAAAAATATAAATGTTCAGATAGCACTAAATCGATATAAACAATTGCTTATTTATACTTCTAAAATTGATGTGAAATAATCTAAATAGTGAGTATTATTATTGTTATATATAGTTAAATCTATACAATTTAAATTGCCAAAAATATCCTGATCCAAGATTATTCTTACTAAAATCCGGAGAAACCAGTATGGTGTTCTTGTAAAGTGCATCGGCTAATGCTTTTCTGATCCAAGTTTATTATATATCAAAAAAGTCAACACAGTGTTCTTGCAAAGTACACCAACTTATACTTTTTGTTCTTTTGATCCAAGTTTATTATATGGGGTGTCTTCAATTAAAAGGGCCCATTTTTACATTTATCTCATTTCGAGATAATTGAGTTTAAACATTT